GTATAACATACACCAAATAATATTTTCAGAATTAAATTTTGGGACCTTGGCTTCTTTACACTTAAAAAATAGATGCTTACTTTAATACAGATTTGACAGACAGAGTGCATGTAACTGTTTAATTTATTGTTCATTTTTTCAATCAGTCAGGCAGTGGTTTATTCATTAATTAATTTATTTTCATTTAGAGCTTGCAAAGGGAAGACAGCAATGGACTTAGTCTGCACTGAGGAAATGAAACAATTACTCACTTCACCCATCATCAAAGAAACCAAGCCTGTTACCAATGGAACAACCAATCAACAAGCTATGGATTCAGGTATCCATTCAGATGCATTATATCAAAGATTTAGTCTCCCATAGCCATTTAGAAACTGTGCATTCAACGCTGTTATGGCTCTCCTTCCATTATCCTTCTCTGCTAGGGGCAATCCAAAAGTTGGCTGTAACAAATTTGAAATGAAACAAATCCTTCACTGTGATTGGCTATCTGAGCAGGCAATATGAGGCTATCTTGCCTGTCCAAGATAGCATGCTGCTTTCTGCAAGGAAATTGTATTATTAAAACTACTTTTATTAAATCATTTATTAAATACATGCAACTCCTTTACTGATAAAACTTGTCCAGTCAAGATGAGTGGATATTGGGCTCATTCTTTTTTGGAGTTTTTATGTTGAGGTCCATAAACACACAATAAGAAAAGAACTTGTCCATTGTCCAGCTATCTTCACCTCATGCTCCATCAAGCATCTTCCGATCCACCAACTACCAACATCTCCCATAGGCAGGCACTATCTCAAGTTATGCTGTCCAACCAGGGACTTTGCTCTTGTAATCTCAATGGTTTTCACCATGTTCTTCTACTGTTAATAGGCATTCAATCATAGATGACTGGATGGCTATAACTCCTAGTAACAAACACCTCCCATGAATAGGCAGACACCTCTGTAACCACACACACTGCATTTATGCCAATACTGTAAGGGTGTTTTTAAAAACTATTACCAGTTTAAATGATGTTTCTCTTTTTAAAATTTTGAATCCTTCCCGGCCACAGAGTCACTTCCAACTGAGATGAGTATTCTAGCACTAACTCCAGCAAGCACAGCCTCTTCTCTACTGTCCACACCATCTTCCAAGTCCCATCTACAGATGCTGACAGGAATGACCCCACCTGCCAACAGTGAGCCTCTGGACCCAACATTTCTTCATGTATGGCCACACCCTCAGAGGATCACTCAGATTAAGGGTACCAGGTTTTTCCCGACATCTGTCCTTCCTGTTGTGTTATTCAGGGACTTGCAATCAGGTAAGGGAGCCAGTCATGATGGGAAAAAATGGAAAGAACTTTGGTTGGCAAGTGACTTAAAACTGTTTTGCTGAAAACAAGTGTTGAACTGTTATTGAATGCAGTAAAAACCTGCATATAAGAACCTTACATTTAAGAACTTGTTAGGCTAAAATTTCCCTGTTAAGCATCCTTCACATAAGAACCATTCTAGGCTAAAATCTCATTACACGTTCTTATCAAAATATAGAGTTTTTTCAAATACAATACAGTACATCACATGTGATATAAAAAAAGGTAAACAGAAACTAGCCAGAGCATTGGTAGTGGTATGGGACCATAATACTATACTGTGAATGATTTAATATAAAGGCCAGACCCATGGGTACAAGTTAAAAAATAAATTAAGAACATAGGTGGCCTAATTTCACAGTAAACACCATTTATATAAGAACCTATGGAGGCTAACTTGAAAAACCTAGGTTCTCATACACAGGTGTTTACTGTAGATTGAAATGAAAATACAAGTACAGTACAATGCATGTCTTTTTTGATCAAGATTTCAAGACTTTTTCTTAGATGTCGCAGTGTTATTTTTAGTTGAGATGAGATTTGACATCAGTGATGTGGGAATTTGGCACAAACATTTACAATTACAAAATTCAAAACTACCTCCACCAAACAGTAGCAGAAAGAAGTGGGTTATTTCTCATCCACACAACCAACTAATGGCCATTGAAAGTTGGCCAACAGATGACCACCAGTATCTTTTTTGGAATCTGTTCTTCACTTTTTACCCATGTTTGAATCATTTTACTTTAAAAACTTAGGTAAATATTAGAATTCAGTTTAAGTTGTTGACTGTGACACAATGCATGCATTCTTTTCACTTGTTCTAACTCTCTTTTTAACCTTCAAGGAGGGAATCGTGTGTAGTTACAAATTACCTTTCACGGTTTATCCTAGATCATTTTCAGGAAATTTGTGAGATTTGGAACACTGTGAATGAAAGTTTTGAACAAGTTGGTTACACCCTGGATCTGAAGGTTGTGGGAGAAGGTAAAACTGGAGTGTTTTAAAAGTATTTTTATCCCTTGAAAATGCTGCCTCACATTCAGATTCATGATTCATGGCCACATTGAAAATTCTGGTCATTAATTGGTTAAAGCCGGCTGTCTCCTACAGTGATGTTCTTGACATGTTCTTCTACCAAAAGGGAATGTTTATGTACGAGGCTAATTTTCCCCAGCATTACATCAAGTAAGCCCATCAGGTTGCCAATGGATACATTTAACTTTATAGAGTCAANGTATAACATACACCAAATAATATTTTCAGAATTAAATTTTGGGACCTTGGCTTCTTTACACTTAAAAAATAGATGCTTACTTTAATACAGATTTGACAGACAGAGTGCATGTAACTGTTTAATTTATTGTTCATTTTTTCAATCAGTCAGGCAGTGGTTTATTCATTAATTAATTTATTTTCATTTAGAGCTTGCAAAGGGAAGACAGCAATGGACTTAGTCTGCACTGAGGAAATGAAACAATTACTCACTTCACCCATCATCAAAGAAACCAAGCCTGTTACCAATGGAACAGCCAATCAACAAGCTGTGAATTCAGGTATCCATTCAGATGCATTATATCAAAGATTTAGTCTTCCATAGCCATTTAGAAACTGTGCATTCGATGCTGTTATGGTTCTCCTTCCATTATCCTTCTCTGCTAGGGGCAATCCAAAAGTTGGCTGTCACAGATTTGAAATGAAACAAATCCTGCATTGGGATTGGCTATCTGAGCAGGCAATATGAGGCTATCTTGCCTGTCCAAGATAACCTGCTGCTTTCTGCAAGGAAATTGTATTATTAAAACTACTTTTATTAAATCATTGATTCTCATGTATAATACATGCAACTCCTTTACTGATAAAACTTGTCCAGTCAAGATGACTGGATATTGGGCTCATTCTTTTTTGGAGTATTTATGTTGAAGTCCGTAAACACACAATAAGAAAAGAACTTGTCCATTGTCCAGCTGTCTTGACCTCATGCTCCATCAAGCATCTTCTGATCCACCAACTACCAACATCTCCCATAGGCAGGCGCTATCTCAAGTTATGCTGTCCAATCAGGAACTTTGCTCTTGTATCCTCAATGGTTTTCACCATGTTCTTATACTGTTAATAGGCATTCAATCATAGATGACTGGATGGCTATAACTCCTAGTTACAAACACACACTGTAACCACACACACTGCATTTATGCCGATACTGTAAGGGTGTTTTTAAAATCTATTACCAGTTTAAATGATGTTTCTCTTTTAAAATTTTGAATCCTTCCCGGCCACAGAGTCACTTCCAACTGAGATGAGTACTTTAGCACTAACTCCAGCAAGCACAGCCTCCTCTCTACCCTCCACACCATCTTCCAAGTCCCATCTACAGATGCTGACAGGAATGACCCCACCTGCCAACAGTGAGCCTCTGGACCCAACATTTCTTCATGTATGGCCACACCCTCAGAGGATCACTCAGATTAAGGGTACCAGGTTTTTCCCGACATCTGTCCTTCCTGTTGTGTTATTCAGGGACTTGCAATCAGGTAAGGGAGCCAGTCATGATGGGAAAAAATGGAAAGAACTTTGGTTGGCAAGTGACTTAAAACTGTTTTGCTGAAAACAAGTGTTGAACTGTTATTGAATGCAGTAAAAACCTGCATATAAGAACCTTACATTTAAGAACTTGTTAGGCTAAAATTTCCCTGTTAAGCATCCTTCACATAAGAACCATTCTAGGCTAAAATCTCATTACACGTTCTTATCAAAATATAGAGTTTTTTCAAATACAATACAGTACATCACATGTGATATAAAAAAAGGTAAACAGAAACTAGCCAGAGCATTGGTAGTGGTATGGGACCATAATACTATACTGTGAATGATTTAATATAAAGGCCAGACCCATGGGTACAAGTTAAAAAATAAATTAAGAACATAGGTGGCCTAATTTCACAGTAAACACCATTTATATAAGAACCTATGGAGGCTAACTTGAAAAACCTAGGTTCTCATACACAGGTGTTTACTGTAGATTGAAATGAAAATACAAGTACAGTACAATGCATGTCTTTTTTGATCAAGATTTCAAGACTTTTTCTTAGATGTCGCAGTGTTATTTTTAGTTGAGATGAGATTTGACATCAGTGATGTGGGAATTTGGCACAAACATTTACAATTACAAAATTCAAAACTACCTCCACCAAACAGTAGCAGAAAGAAGTGGGTTATTTCTCATCCACACAACCAACTAATGGCCATTGAAAGTTGGCCAACAGATGACCACCAGTATCTTTTTTGGAATCTGTTCTTCACTTTTTACCCATGTTTGAATCATTTTACTTTAAAAACTTAGGTAAATATTAGAATTCAGTTTAAGTTGTTGACTGTGACACAATGCATGCATTCTTTTCACTTGTTCTAACTCTCTTTTTAACCTTCAAGGAGGGAATCGTGTGTAGTTACAAATTACCTTTCACGGTTTATCCTAGATCATTTTCAGGAAATTTGTGAGATTTGGAACACTGTGAATGAAAGTTTTGAACAAGTTGGTTACACCCTGGATCTGAAGGTTGTGGGAGAAGGTAAAACTGGAGTGTTTTAAAAGTATTTTTATCCCTTGAAAATGCTGCCTCACATTCAGATTCATGATTCATGGCCACATTGAAAATTCTGGTCATTAATTGGTTAAAGCCGGCTGTCTCCTACAGTGATGTTCTTGACATGTTCTTCTACCAAAAGGGAATGTTTATGTACGAGGCTAATTTTCCCCAGCATTACATCAAGTAAGCCCATCAGGTTGCCAATGGATACATTTAACTTTATAGAGTCAAGTGGAGAGATGCATTGTTATAATTTTAGTGGGTTTGGTGGTCGAATTGCAAGTGCACTGGAGTCTTCTCAATCAAGAGGCCTAGAGATAAACACCAGGCTACTGATCCACTTCATGCCCAAAGAGCTTTTAATTAGTCTTGCTTCCCTTATAAAAAGAAAACATGGACCTCTGGATGTCAGTTAGACCTTTATGTCTCTGGCGCTGTGCTGATTTGTGTTTTGTCCTTGTTTGATAGCATCTGTGAAGAGAGGAAGTGTTGCCAGCAGTATCGAATGTCATGTGTGTCCACACTCATTTAACAAGTCAGAGAGTTATAGAATCAACATTTCAACTATAAAGGTACTTGATCTTTTCTTGGTCTGGTGGATATTAACCCATTCATTCATTTTCAAATTAAATTCTCAAGTTATATTCTTGAACATATTATTTTGGGTGATTGCAGTTCAATCTTGTAAGTGAGTATGTGTGTAACCAACCTCTTGTTAGTCTCTGTTGTGGTCTTTACTCCAGCCGTAACAAGGAATTTAGAAGGAGAGATGCAAGACTCCAATCTTGTCTGGAGTGGTTATACTATCCCTTGATGAGGAGAATGGAGGGATCATGCATGATATTTAATCTGTTAATTATTACCAAACAGGTTGTTTTAACTGCCAGTGACCTGCCAGGCATGTGGTATGCTGTAAACACTTTGCTTCAGATCTTTCGACTTTTCCATGGCAAGGGAATACCACAGATACAGGTAACACTATCTGTTTCTTGTTAAGTTCTTATAATTTTCTTTTTGACACTCCAAAAAACTCCGGAAATTTCCCTAAGACAGCTATGACAAAGAAAATAAACCACTCAACAAATTCTCCATGGCATAAGCGCTCTTCCCCAAAATCTGGGAACTTTATTGCAACTTTAACAATATGTCACCCAATCATTCCACATGTAACTTGTAACTTCCGGTAAACATAATTTGTGGTTTGCTCTCACAAAAAAAGCCTATTTTCTAAAAAAATGGGGAAGAGAAAAATAATCTTTAACACTATCCATCACCCTAGCCATGAGTATTTTGGTTATTATTGATTGAGTGCTTGTCTGATTGACTGATTGATCAATTGACATATTGATTGATTGATCGATTGACTGATTGCTCTATTTTGTAACAGCCTTCCTTGTGTTACTTTGTTTATTTCAGATAAATGACTGGCCAGACTTAAAGTTCAGAGGAGTATTATGGGATGTGTCATCAGGTCGCATTCCGACCCTGGTAAGTGAATACGCTTTAGTAGAATGAATGGCTGACTGGGTAAACAGAAGTTATGTGTAATCTAAACAAGTTCTAAAATGAACTCAAATGTTTCTGTGTTGGAATGTAGCCACTGAAGGTAACTTGTACTGTTTTCAGCAAGATACAACTTATATGAAACAAATTCGTTGTGTTCTCCCAGGGGGGGCACTCCCATATAAAAAGGACAGGGGTGCTTGTTGGAAATTGTGAAAATAACCCCTAAGAGGTACTAAGATGCTGTTTTGAGGGCGTGACTTGAATTTCTTGTCACCCCTAAGAGCTAACAATTCTAAAACAACACATTATCTCCTGTCATTTTTTTTTTTTCGGCTCAATACCCTACAAGGTACTGCAAAGGCTCCCGCTGTGGACCTTTTGAGGCCCATCACCCTAGGAGGTATCAAAACCGCTTTTTAACTCCTAAAAGATACAATGAGCATCCCAGTCCCGTATATATGGAATTTCCCCCACCCCCCGGTGTCTTCTATGCCGGGGGAACACAAGTATCTGAGCTTTCTATCTGTATTTTTACTGTCATTATTCTGAAGTTTTTCAAGGTTTTGAACTATGTGGCATACTCTTTAAAGCACATTATGCCAGATTGAGTGTAACACATCACATTTTAACGTTTTCTCTCGCTCAGGAAACGGTGTTTGCCCTCATTGACGTTCTATCTGCCATGAAAATCAACCAGCTACAATTGTACATGCAAAACACATTCTCCTTCACTGGACACGAGACAGTTTGGCGGAATGCCACTCCCTACAGTGCAAGGTACACTGTCAATAGACTATTTTCGTATTCTCGGTATTAGACTGGAACTAACTTGCAAGCAAGGATCATGCGGGTGAATATCATTAAAAAGAGATTAATGTCATTTGCATGTGAAAAGACTTCCTGCATTAGCCTCAGTTCCAAGTCATTTCCAGTCCAGTACCGAGAATACGAATCTGGTCTGTTGACCAAGTTTATTTATTTAGTTTGTTATAAGATTAATGAATATAGTGTTTTAGTATCACCCAACTAGTGGACTAATGCAAATCCTGCATTTTGATTGGCTACGCTACTAGAGGACTATTAGTAATAGTCCTCGAGTAGCGAAAT